CAGTAGCGGTAGGGTAGGTCTAGGCCGGTACCAGTCCAACCAGTCTGAGTCTAGAGCCTGTACGGGTAATATCAGGGTCTGCAATGATGTTTCCCTCCGAAACGGAGGAGGTACCGGTTGCTTGGAGAGGCCGAGCGGCCTGGAAGTCACCGCCCAGGAGGCAAGTAGGCCGCTATATCAAGAGGCAGGGCAAAGAGCCCGGCCTCATTCTTGAGTGCGCGAGTTGGGCATCACGCTGCTGGAGCGCTAGGTGGAGGAGCGCTGGGCTCTACAGCGCTGCTGGGAGGAAGAAGCCGGGAGCTTCCACCTTGGCTATGGTGGAGCTCTACCGGTAGGAGGAGGAGGGAGAAGGGGACCAAGGAGGAGAGTGGCGAGGTACTTACTGGCTATGGTAGACACCATCTTCATCTCCTTGCTAGGTGCTGCATCAGGAAGGCCCCAGTGTGGGTAGTGCCGCGTCAAGGAAGCTCGGACAGAGTCAGGCATGGCGGTTGAGTGGGCAGCGGCATAGCTGCGGGGTGATGACCTTGAAGTAGAGCAGCGGTGTAGCTGCTTTGGGTTGTCTTTGTGCAGGAGGCTGAAGCCTCCATAGTCCACCATAGCCTCGGCCTGTATGCTGGGAGGAAGAAGGGCTGCCATGGCTATGGTGGACCTCATCTTGTGCCTGCAGTAGAAGTGGGATTCGGACATTGATTCTGGTTCAGCTGTTCAACATTATTATTGTTTATTTATTGTTTGAATAAGAGAGGAGGAGATAAAGAGGAGGAGGTTGTTGGGCAAAGAAGAAGAGCTTTGTCTTTGGTCTATGCTGGAGTACATCATCTCTTTCTTCTTTCTTAATTCTTCTTTCCCTCTCTCTCCTCTCAAGTTCTTTCATTTCTTTTGCAATTGGACGGCATTGGGCTCAAGTTCATTCATTTCTTTTCGCAATTGGACAACATTGTACTTTCTGATGATTGTGGACTTCAAAATTGGCCAGGATCGTAACAAATACAACAAATAAACAGGAAGTAACATTCCGCATAATGTTAATGGGGGAGAGGGTGTGATCATTAACGATGGGTACTCCACACGGGCCGGCATTATGTACCCACTGGATTCCAGTCACAAAAGTAGGCTCATGGTGCTGGTAGTGGGACACAACTACCACGGAACCGAAAGGCCATCATGACCAAACACATCACTCCGCCTTCCCCCTTACACATCCTTCTCCTCCCAGTTATGTGTGCTCCTGCAGCAGGGTTTGAAGTTTAACCCTTGTTTATTTGTATTTTCATGAAATTGATAGGGGTAGCAAGTACTAATTTCCTGCTAGCGCACAATTCAGCCATTTCCACTCAATTTAAAGGATGTTCACACATCTCCGCCTCCTGGTTCCAGTCCCGAGTTGCAGTGTCCACATGTACCATAACCCCAACCAGTAGGACCATACTGTGGGCCGGTATAAGTCATAGGTCTAGGTCGTACAATAAGCCGGTAGCCGGTACGCCCGCAGGCCCATACAGTACGTAGGTCGTTAGGAACCAGCAGGCCCCGTCAGTCCATGAGTCTATCATAGCTCAGTCCCAGGAAAGTCCACATCAAGAGTCAGAGGCAGACTGTGACTGCAAGGAAAAGTGCCGACACCAAAAAAGCCCACAATCGGGAAATTTTTGTCCAGAAGTCCGGATGCAGCCAAGAGTCGACACAATTACATTCATACTGGACACAAAAGCGCTGCTGCGGGCTTGTGCGCCCAAGCATCAGATGAAACAGGTAGTAACAATCAATGGGAAGAGCCGTAGACATTCAGGGAGTGAGCAAGCGAGGACTGTGAGAGGTTGGACAGCATTAGACACAGAGAGAGAGAGAGAGAGAGAGAGAGAGAGAGAGAGAGAGAGAGAGAGAGAGAGAGAGAGAGAGAGAGAGAGAGAGAGAGAGAGAGA